CCTCCCACCCCCATGGTAATGCCCGCCTCCCCCAGTGACACCACATTCCCCACCCCACCCCTTAGCACCGAGGGACTCAGTTCATCTCCTCAAAGAATTTGTAGGTGGGGTTCTCGTAGCCGTGGTTCTGCATCTTGTTCAGTTGCCGCTCCTCGGGGCTAACCATAGGATCCACCTGTGGGGTGGGGGCGGGGCAGGGGGAGGAAGAGAAAGGGGAATTAAAGACAAAAACAGCAACTGGGAGCACTGAGGGGGCCCCCTCACTAACAAGATGCGTTGGGAGAAACACCTGGGGAGTCTGAAGTGGTTTTCAATGTGTGGCGGAAAGAGAATTCTAGGAACTGCAAAGGGTTCTGGGAATTGTAGTGCGACACGGAGGAGGCGACGAAACAGAATTCTCAGTATCTATTTTATTTACTTTACTTATAACCTGCCTTTCTCCCTGATGGGGGTCCCAAAGTGGCCCACATTGTTCTCCTCTCCTCCGTTTTTTCCTCACAACAATCACTCTGGGAGGTAGGTGAGGCTGAGGAACAGTAACAGGCTCAGAATCCACTTAGCGAGCCTCCACGGCGGTGTGGGGATACGAACCTCGGTCTCCCAGGATCGTATCCCAGCATTCTAGCCACATTGCCCCTCCTTCTCAGGACACTCACCAAACTACAATCCCCAGGACCCTTTTCTGTTTGTGTGGGTTGTGGTGGGGAAACAGTGAGAGCTAAGCGAATACAAAACAACAACAAAATCATGTTTGTGATGATGGGATTCATGTGTCACAGAAGGCACTTGTTTTTTTTTTCTTGGAAACAATATAACAGAATTGGTTTGCATCCAAGGCGGGCTTCGTTAGCCCTACCTGGGGTCCGAGGGAGCTTGCCTGTCAGGCCAGATTAGACCGGGCGTGGTGTATTTCTGCCCTTCCGTGCACTGTATTGCTTGACAATCTTCCACCATTGCCTTTCTGTGGCTCACTGTGGACCAAGTTGCATGGGTGTTGCTCTTGGGGGTGGGGTGGGGGGAGACACACACTCCTGCCTTTGAGACAGGAGGAGGGGCTGGATTAGACACAGTGCCCTTTCCCACTTTACCTCAACGATGCCGTGGCTGATGGTCCCGTAGGGCTTTCGGCGGACCATCAGGAGACTGACGATGATCACCATGGCAACCGCCACGGCCACCACCAGAAGGCCGATCAGGGCACCCCTGTTGATGGTCACCAAGGTGTCCGGTTCCTGCGACGGAAAAGATCTGGTGAGGTTTTGTTACGCTGTCTCAACCTTGTTCCTTTCCCCAAAGGCTGATGCCCGCCACCCCCTTGTGCCTACAACAGGATCAGCAGAGGGCAGAGAGGTTTATGAAATGGCAGGCTGGCACAGGTAGAGGTGGCGGCCTCACTGCATTCTGAGCACTCCCCTTCAAACACCAATGCTGGACGGTGCTAGTCCTTCAATTGTGCAGGGGAGGGTATAACCAGGGGTCATTTCGTAGAAAAAGAGCTAGGGGAACTCATTAGCATAACTCATTAGCATATGCCACACCCCCTGACATTAGGGGCCCGGCGGTGGACCTGCAAGGCCAGCGGGAGTGCGAGGAAGCCCCGCCAAGGCCCTCCCTGGCCCCAGGCGAACACCAATGCTGGACGGTGCTAGTGCTTCAATTGTGCAGGGGAGGGTATAACTACCAAAGTTATATAACCGGGAATTTCCCATGTTTAAGGAAGTTTGCGAGATCATGAGGCTAAGAGTCAAGTTCAAGTCCCTGTTCGGTCATATGCTTGGGGCTTGCCAAGAGCTGCCCTTCCCCACCCCCCCATACCACACACCTTATAGTGTTTCCTGACCTTCCCTAGCCACTGGCTGGGGGAGGAGGGGGAGTTACCAGCCCCAGGTTGGATTTGGGGGTGAAGCCTGGGGAAGACAGGCCCCCGGGGGGTACAATGCCACAGAATCCACCCCTTAAAGCAGGGGTGTAATGATTTCATGTTTTGGTGTGTGTGTTTCTTTAAATGTTTAGTTTGACTGCAGTAATGTAAGGAGAGTGATAGAGGGAGATGAGTGTGATGTGACTGGCTGACAACTGAGAGTGTGGGAGGAGGGGTGTCTCTGAGGTGATTATGTGTTTTTGGAGAGATGAGTGTGGAGAGTTTTTGAGTTTAGCTTGTATGGCAGAAGAAGCAGTTTGAGTCTATCCTGTGTGGCTAAGACAAACTGTTTAGCTTGTGTGGCTAAGAGAGGCAGAGTTTAGCCTGTGTGGCTAAGGCTGTCAGAGTTGAGTTTTGGCGTTTTGAGAGACAGTGTGTGAAGCCCAGCTTTATCAGTTATATTTACAAGTTCCTTTCTTCAACAACAGTTCAAAAATACCCAGAAACCTATTTTGTTCTTTGATAAATAAATAAATCATTATTTGTTTAAACTTATCCCAGCAGTCAGAACAGTCCTTCCTCAGGTCCACATAGTCCTCGGAAGTGCCCAGACACAGGGTCATTCTACCATAATAGTGAGATTTGGATTTTTTAAAATCCTGGTGGCAGCAGTAATCTACTAACTTTATGTGAACAGAGTGTGTTTTAAGGGAAAACCAGTTTCCCCATTAAGGAGGACGTCACAAGGGGTCCTCAACCTTTTCGAGTCTGCACATTTGGAATCTGACACAGCATGGTGGGCACAACCACAAAATGGCTGCCAAAGGAGGTGGAACCAACCACAAAATGACCACCACAGCTTAGCTTCAGTAACACAGTGCTGATCCTTGTGCTGTGGTGGCAGCTGCTGCCAAAGCAACTTTTTTTAAAAATCCGCACAGCCAGTCAAATCTCCGACAGTCAATCAGAAGCCTTGCTGGGAAAAAGCCCCACTCCCTTCCTAAAAACACTTGTTGGGCACCAGAAAAGGTGTGGGGGACCTGGGCAACACGTTGAGGACCCCTGCTCCAAAGCAGCCATTTCCTCCAGGGGAGCTGATCTCTGTAGTCTGGAGATGAGCTGGAATTCCAGGGGAATCCCCAAGGCCCACCTGGTGGCTGGCATCCCTATTGGACCACCGCCCACAAAATTCTTGATGAGAACAGGTATGCTGTGACCAATGCTCCCTCTAAGCTGTGGAGTCTTGTGAGCAAAAATGCTACTTTGGGAGCTACTGGCATTAAAGTTGTGAGCGAGCGATTTGGCTGCTGCAGAAATTAGTTTGCTCTGGAGCCATCCTTCCTGAGCTAAGACAAAAATGTGTGAGCCGGAGGATAAAAAACTGTGAGCTAGCTCACACTAACTCAGCTTAGAGGGAACACTGGCTGTGGCTACCCTTCAGCCAGTTCCCTGGGTCCCTCAAATTTTGTAACCTCCCCCACACTCCACACTCGGCAGCCCTGCATAGATTAAAGACATTTCACATATTCTTCTTTTATACTCGGCACCTAAGTTTTTCAAGGTGCACCTGAAACTCTTAAAGCGGGAATTAAGTCAAACATGCATCTGGAAGCACAAACTTTGTGTGTTCGGCGTGCACTAGGATTAACAGCGGCTCCTGGCTGAATGTTCAGCCAGCGGCTAACAGGGGTCTGCTGCTACCTTGTAAGCTCCTTGAGCGCATCGCTTGTTCTCACAGGTGTGTGTTTTTTTAATCTGTCGAGTAGGAAAAGTGAACCTTGTTCACCAGGCTGTTTGGGAGGATAAAGACGGGAAAGGAATTTGCGCGCGCACAAAAAGGTGCTACTTAACGAGACGAAGAAAAGGGATTAGGTAAAGATTACCGCTAGTGTTGCAAAGTGTTCCGTAAGCTTTTGATCCCCCCACAGCCTTCATCGGGTGCTAAGAGCAGAAATAAAATGGGATTTGTTCTTAGCACACCCGTCTCTCTTCCCCCGCCCTCGGGGACATTTCGCCAATGATACTACAGTTCGTAGAATGTAATATTGGAATTCAAAAATGTCACTTCCTATGCCATATTGTGCCGCTTCAAAATCCTGCCAAACTGATTAAAAATGCAATTCTGCGCATCAGTTCTGACAGCGTGCTTGAACCTGGAGGCTGTTCTCACTTGCCTTCTCCGAGAACAAAAACAGACCTGTGGCCAAATTCAAAAGGATTAATCGGTTCCTGGGGTTTGCCTTTTCGGACAGAGTACTGTATTCCGGCCTCTAGTTTCTTCAAGGCCTTTTGGGACCACAAACCAAAGAAATGTAGCCGAGATGACTCTTTCTTGGGATGCAATTTAAAAAAAATGAAAATAAAAATCCATGAGCTAAGATGTGAAACATGACATAAAACAGAGAGATGACCTCAGTCATGGGGAAAGTACCCTTTCTAGAAAAATAAGGGGGTGGGGAAAGGACTCCTGCAGGATATATTTCCTATGCTTTGGGATTCCACAGAGAAGCACTGGAACGTCTCTGCTTCCTGCCGAGTAATCTGATGCCAGCGAACCTCTTGTAAAAAAAATAAATGAAATAAAATAAAAGATGGGAGTAAAAGAAGTGCAAGTACGGAGAAGGCAGGAACCAAGGTGTAACTAAAGTTTAATATTGCAACAGAGGTGGGGGGGCAGAGAGTCAACCAATTTTAATGGGGAATCTGGAATTCTCCATGGCACCGTAAGAACCGTGAAACATTATCGGGAGGGGATAAGAATAGGAAGAGCCAGCTGTAAATAATAATCATTTTGGCCCTGACTAGTGTGGGAAAGGCACTCTGCACATGCCCAGAAACAGGGCCGTAGCGACTGGAGAAACCTGGAAGCGGCCAGGTTCCCCTAGTGCTTTCTCTTGAAGGGAAATAAGTGGAGGTGGTATTCTATTTAGAATATAACTGCTTTTGTCTTCCAGTGTTCTAAGCCAATAAGTGCAAAGGGGATCATAGATAAGCACAAAAAGGTAATTTTTTTAAAAAAGGGTTATACAATTAATTTGGTTTCATGTTTAATGAATAACATTCACCCCTTTTGCACTGCCTGGATGTAGGTCCCTGAGTGTTACGCACTGATTCAGTACCATGCCCCCCCTCCCCCGCATCTTTCAGCCACCCTCCTCGCCAGGACACCGGCTATAGGCCTGTGGAAAAGCTGTCTCTTCACTACCCAGGACGGAGTTCTAGCTCTGAAGGAGAACGGAAAAAGCATTTGGGACAGAGACCTGGCTCAGCATCATTCCACAGGGCAGGCTCATTAAGTTAGGAACCAGCATCGTGTTGGGGGTTAGAACACTGGACTAAGAATTAGACGACTGGGGGGGGGGGTTGTGGACCTCCACTCTAACCTACCTCACAGGACTGCTGCTGTGATGATAAAATGGGGGAAGGGAGAACCTTGTTCCTCAGCTGCTCGGATAAAGGGTACGGTATGATGCAGACAGAAGATATTTTAAAAGTAATATTAAAAAAATAAAAATGGGCGCCCTATCAGTATGCATTTGCTGTCCTTGGGGGGATGGCTCTCTTTGACCATCAAGGCAAGACCATCAAGGAGGGGGTGTATTTCAGCACCCTCATCTTCAGAATCTGCAATGTGCAGTGGGCAAACTTTGCTCCCAGTACCCTCTTCAGATTGCAACCTCATGCATTTCTCCCAGAGAGCTTGATGGGGACCGGCGAAATCAGCAGCAAAGATGACAGCAACTGGCTACAGCGTCACCCAGTGAGCTTCCATAGCAGGCACAGTGTTGCCAGGTCTTACCCTGGTCCTGGAGTTCTCCGGCGATGACATCACTTGGAAGTGACGTCATCACGCAGGGCACGTTGCATGGGACGGTCTATTGTTTAAGGAAAAACTCTATGGTTTTTCCTTAAACAATCAAGCATTCCCCCACCCGGCAACGTGCCCAGTGTGACAACGTCACCTCTGGGTGACATCATTGTGCTGGGCACGTTAGCGCAAACAAGGCACCGGCAGATCTGGAGGCCCGAAAGCGGGCAAACCCCTGCTCCCGTCAGGGGAATGGCAGCCCTAAGCCAGCAGGAGATCTGAACCCAGGTCTCCCAGGTCCTACTTGGATGCCCTAACCACTACACTCTGCTGGCTGTCATGAGGTACAATCATCCCTCCCCTTGGTGACCTCAGGCCCTGTTTATTCACTCATTTGCAGTTTATTCCTCCACAGACCTCAGGGCGATATATGTGTTGTCTTCCTCCGCTTTAATCTTCGCAACAGCCCTGTATGTATCTGAAGAAGTGTGCATGTACATGAAAGCTTATACCCAGAATTTAATTTGTTGGTCTTAAAGGTGCCACTGGACTCAAACTTTGTT